AAAAAAAAAAAAAAAAAAAAAAAAAAAAAAAAAAAAAAAAAAAAAAAAAAAAAAAAAAAAAAAAAAACATGATTCAGGTGAAGTACATTAAAACCCTCAGGAAAAATACAATTTCAAAACCTGTAAAGTTATCTTTGCCTAGGACCCTGGAAGAAGGTCTCCTTATGCAGATGAGGAGAGTGGGACCCAATGAAGCGACATGCCCATGCTGGGTGTAGGGGCATTTGTTGTGTTGGCCTGCCACTGCCCATTCTCTTGGTTCTGATAAAGGCACCTTGGTTTTTTTTTTGGGGAGCCAGCTAGGTTTGCTGGATACAATCAAAGACATCTGCTTAAATTTTAACTTCAGATAAACAACACAAAGCTTTTCTAGTGTACCTCAAGTAGTGCATGGGTTATACACTGAAAAATTATTCACCATTCATTTAAAATTCAAATGTAACTAGATTTCCTATATTTTTATTTGCCATGTTTAGCAATCATAACATCTTTCAGCTCAAATGGCTTTTAAAAACCTTTTAACTTCAAGAGTACACGTGCAGGTTTCTTAGATAGGTAAGCTCGCGTTACACAGAGCATTTCATCCCCCAGGGATTACGCCTAGTATCTATTAGTTATTTCTTTTTTCTAACCCTCTCTCTCCCCCGACTCTCCACCTTCAGGTAGGCCTCAGTGTCTGTCGTTTCCTTCTATGTGTTCATGTGTTCTTAGCTCCCACTTGTAAGAACACGCCATATTTGGTTTTCTGTTCCTGTGTTAATTTGCTAAATATAATGGGCTCCAGCTCCATCCATGTTCCTGCAAAGGACACAATCTTCTTTTTTATGGCTGCATAGTATTCCATGGTGTAGTGTACCACATTTTCTTCATCCAATCTACCATTGATGGTATTTAGGTTTATTCTATACCTTTGCTGTCACAGTTCAGCTAAAACATTTAGGGTGGGACTGGCTTCTCCTGCTCTGGCTCCAGGAGTAGACAGGTGACCGAGCTTGGCCAATTAGCATATTTGGTCCTTTTGAATGAAAGAGATTGATTCAGAGATGGGCACATGACTAAAGACAGGCCGATGAGATTTAATTCTGGAGCTCTGGCACTACTGAGAGACTGTTTCTTTTTCTTGGAGTTGCTAAGCTGTGAAACTGGCTCCTATGATTGAACAAATGAGAGCCTGCTTGAAAAGCGAAGTCAAGCAAGAGGAAAACAACTGACAGATGACAAGAAATAGAGAAAGAGAAAAGAGATTGAACCTCAAAAACACGGTTAGGGCTCCTGGGATCAGCCTCAATTGAATTTTATCTGCATCTCTCAAGTTGATGGTGAGGACTCTTTTGATGATGCTGGAAATGAAGTTAATAGCAGTACTGCGATGGGGCTGACAGCAAAATTATCAGTGGCGATAGTTTTGGAAACGATCTGTCTTCATCAAGATAGTGGTGGAGGGGTGATGAAACAGAATGGTCTGCAGAATGAAGAGAGGGTATATTCTTGCTGGTGATGGCTCTGCCAGGGTGCCTGCTGATGCCCTTGGTAATGAAGATGACAGTGGTGTAGACTAAGGTGGTATTGGCAAGGAAAAATAAAATAACAAGGAAAAGGATAATTCTCAACCTCAGTCTATCATCAAGCCCTATCAATTCTACTCCCTCAACTTTTAAAAACTCTATCCATTCACTCCCTGCTCACTGCTGCCCCACCCTAGCCTGTGAGCAGGATCTTGCTTCTTCTACAATGTTCTCCTAACTCGCCTTCTTGCTCCCTTTCTTGTCTCTCTATATTCTATATTTCACACGACGGCAAGCAGAGTGAGATTTTCTAATGTGTAAGTTAAACCATTCTACTTTCCTGCTGGAAATGGTTCGGTGGTTTGGACTAAAATTGAAGCTCTTTATCATGGATCTCAAGACCTGTATAACCTGACCAGTTCTTACACCCTCAGTCTCATTTTCCTCTTTCTCTTCCCTTGCTACATTCTAGCCCGGTTGCCCTTCCTTTGATTTCTCTAGAATGTACCAAACCCCTCATAGAAGCCATCCTCTAGACATGGATACTTTTACAACCTTCGTGTCTCAGCGTCAATGTCACTTCCTCAGAGAAGCCCAATGAGATCTCCCCTCTGGTACTTTCTCTCATAGCACCCTGTCTTAAGCACACTTTGATGATCTTCTTCCCAACCTGACCAGCACTTATCAACTTTTGGACCTTGACACAATGGTACCTTAAGGGTGGATCACAGGAGTGGCAAGATTTTGATTCCTTAGCCATAAGGTCAGCCTCAAGGGGTCTGTAGTAGCTGTGACTCCTGAGGGTTGTCATCCCCAGTGTCTGGAAGCCTCTTCTATTTAGGGGCCAGACACATATAGGTATTTTCTTTGTGTCCCTTGCTTTGTAAAAGGCTGGGAAGACTGAACCCTGTATTTCTTTTTTTTTTTTTAAATAAAAAACAATTTTTTGAGACAGAGTTTCACTCTTGTGACCCAGGCTGGGGTGCATTCGCAAGATCTCGGCTCACAATAACCTCCGCCTCCCGGGTTCAATGATTCTCCCAGCCCCCCTGAGCAGCTAGGATTACAGGCATGTGCCACCACACCCAACTAATTTTGTATTTTTAGTAGAGACAGGGTTTCTCCATGTTGGTCAGGCTGGTCTTGAACTCCTGACCTCAGGTGATCCTCCGCCTCGGCCTCCCAAAGTGCTGGGAGTAGAGGCATGAACCACTGTGCCTGGCCCCCTATATAGAACTATAAGGGCAGGACTTGTTTTTAGATGGTTCTTGACTATATTCTTAACATAGACTATAGCATCAGACACATAGAAGGTACCAGAAGTATTTCTGGAAAAGATAAAACGTTTTTATGGTGGTGAAGAAGATGGTGGAATTGGTAAGAGTGATGACAATGACAAGGAGGAGAGTGGGTGCTGGTGCTGGTGGTGGTGGGGATGGTGGTGGGGATGGTGCTGGTGCTGGTGGTGGTGGGGATGGTGCTGGTGCTGGTGGTGGTGGGGATGGTGATGGTGATGGTGGTGGTTGGTGGTGGTGGTGATGATGATGGTGATGATGGCAATAGCGGTGATAGTGATGGTGGTGGTGGTGATGCTGGTGGTGGGGATGGTGCTGGTGGTGGTGGTGATGGCAATGGTGGTGATAGTGATGGTGCTGGTGGTGGTGGTGATGGCAATGGTGGTGATAGTGATGGTGGTGGTGATGATGGTGTTGGTGATGCTGCTGCTGGTGACGGTGGTGGTCGTGGTGGTGATGGTGTCGTCCACGGTGTCGCTGGTGGTGGCTATGATAATGAAGAAAGACTGTGGGGATAGAAATGATACATTCTGAGGACCTGGACTACCTCAGTGCCTTAGAGAACTTTTATGAAAAACGAACGTTCCTTTTCCCATTCTAGTCAGCCCAGACTACACTTGAGGGTGGATTTTGGAGGAAGGGTACTTGGAGCTGGAGGGGCTCTTGGAGGTGATTTGCAAACCCATGTGAGACTGTGAGGCCTGCCACGCTCCTCCTTCTTACTGCCCCAGGTGGTCCCAAGGCCGCCTTCCCTTCCACACCCGAAGCCTCCAGCGCTCCAGGGCTGGGGACCGCCCCCATCCACGCTGCGTGCGCACTCGGAGCTTGCCCTTGGCTAGAAGAGCGCAGAGGGTCAAACCACTGCGCCCCGGCCAGAGCTGGAGCTGCGGGAATACCCTAGAGCGCAGGGCTGGGCGCGGGGAGCTGGCAGTGTGGGGCCAAGAAAAAAGGCTGGGGCCAAAAGCCGGAGCCAGAGGCAGAGAGGGAGCATCTGAGAGCGGGGCAAGAGTTCGTGGAGAGTGAGGAAGGGGAATGGAGGGAGTAGGAGTATGGGGAAAAAGAGGATTTTGAAGTGAGAGAGTGCGTTGGGCTGGACCTGGAGGGCCCAGGGTGGAGTGAGGCTGAGGAACAACAACGTGGGTTAAGGTGCTGGTGGGGAGGGACTAGGGCTTCCAGGAGGGTCTGAAGGCGGAGGTGGAGGTCAGACCGCACAGGCGAGGGGGTCTGCAGGTAGAACTGGCATTGGAGGCTGGGAGCGAGGACTGGGGCTGAGCAGGGCGCGCATGCAAGTCGGAGCGCGCCGGTGAGGGTCTGAGGGTGCAGCTAGGGTCTGAGCTAGGGCCTGGGGTCCTAAGGACCGGCTTTCAGATCTGAGCTCGGCGGCTCCGCAATGGAGCCGGGAGCCCACGGTGGCCAGCTGCGGGGGGCAGGCATTGACTGTTCTCGCCTCCGCCGCAGGAACCCGCGGCTTGCAGTCCTGGGCTCCACCATGCGAGTGCACCTGGGCGCGCTGGCCGGCGCGGCTGCGCTGACCGGGGCGCTCAGCTTTGTGCTCCTGGCGGCGGCCATCTGCACGGACTTCTGGTACATCATTGACACAGAGCGGCTGGAGAGGAGCGGCCCGGGGGCAGAGGACCGGCTGGGGGCCGCCAATCGCAGCCAGCCCGAGCCTCTGAGCTCCCACTCCGGCCTCTGGCGGACCTGCCGGGGTAAGGGTGCACCCCGAGCGCCCCCTGCGCAGTGCCCTGCTCGCCTGGGACCTGTTGCTCGGCGCGCACTCCTCCCCCAAGTCCCTAGAATACAGTGTCTAGGAACTCGGGGGAAGGTGGGAAGAAGGCCGGGGCTGCGAAAGCCCTTCGGAGAGGCTCCCGGCTGCGATCCCAACTGCTCTAGCTCCCCGCACGCCCTCCCCGGGTGGGGTATTTAGGGCAAGCATGGGGGAAAAGCCGCGGACCGGGGCCCTGCGTAGAACTCCGGGGTCTGGCGCACATGGCTTCCTCCGTCCCATCCAGTCCACAGCCCGTGCACACCGCTGATGAACCCCTTCTGGCTGGAGAACGTGACAGTCAGCGAATCGAGCCGGCAACTTCTCAGTGAGTCCGGGGAGGGTGAGGAGGGAGGGAGCGGTCTGTCCTAGCCACGGGTTCTGGAGTCTTTCCCCAAACAGCCGGGCTTCCGGGCTAGCGGAGGAGGTGGCTGGGGTGGCATCTGACATCCCAGCCTGAGAACCGAGTGGGTTTGAGAAGCGGTGCGGGGTGTCTCCTGATCCACCTGTAACATTGCATGGTTTAGGGTTCCTTCAGCTCACACTGACCAATGGCTTTCTTTGCACCGTTTTGATTGATGGTTAAGACACAGGCCATGCCCTCAAGGAGCTCAGTGTAGTTGGGGACAAATGTGGAAATGCGTACAGTTCAGAGTGACAAGCAGCGTGAGGAGTGGAAGGTGAGAGTCCCCTGCGGGCACTTAAATTCGCCTGGGGAGGTGCATGGTAAAAGAGAGGTCTCATTCCAGATTCCAAGCCAGCATTGTTTGTATCCTCATTGCTAGAGGAAGGGCTTTGCACTAGTAGGATGCGATAAAAATTTGCATATAAATTTATGATTGGAGCCAGGCAATTAGGAGGCGGGAACAGCCCCTCCTCCCAGGGCCATTGTGTCCCTGTTATTCGTGGTTGGTTCTTAGTACCCAGCTGAACGTCTGGAACTCAGTAAAAGGTGTGAGGACTGAAAGAAGAAAGCAAATGGAATGAATGAGTGCTTGTGGTGGGAGGAAAATAACAGTTCAATTCATTGAGGCTTGCTACAAGCCAGACATGGAGTGAACTGCTTTTCATGTATATCTTCATTTGATTCCTACAGCCACACCCTATGAAGTTACTAGTATCGCCATTTCTGCCTTTCTTTTTCCAATAAGGAGGCCCAGAAAGGTTCTGTAGGAGGATCTGATGAGGAAATGAAGATTGAGTTTCATAGACTTTGAAAATGTGGGCAGGTTTTCGTTTTTTTGAGACAGGATGGTGCTCTGTTGCCCAGGCTGGAGTACAGCGGCACGATCTCGGCCCACTGTAACCTCTTCCTCCCAGGTCCAAGCAATTTTCCTGCCTCATCCTCCAGAGTAGCTGAAACTATAGGCACCTGCTACCACACCAGGCTTTTTTGTATTCTTAGTGCAGTTGGGGTTTCACCACGTTGGCTAGGCTGGTCTGGAACTCCTGACCACTGCACTGGTTTACACCTGTAATCCCAGCACTTTGGAAGGCTGAGGTAGGCAGCTCACTTGAGTTTTTCTTTTTAATTAAAAAAAAATAGAGTTAGGGTCTTACTATATTTCCCAGGCTGGTCTTGAACTCCTGGCCTCAAGTATGTTCCTGCCTTGGCCTCCTAAAGTGTTGGGATTTCAGGTGTGAGCCACAGTGCCTTGCCTTCTCCCTCCACCCAACCCTACCCAGAGACAGAGTCTTGTTCTGTTGCCCAGGCTGGAACACAGTGGCACAATCATAGCTCACTGCAGCCTCAAACTCCTAGGATCAAGCGATCTTCCTGCCTCCGTCTCTCAAAGTGCTGAGATTATAGGCATGAACAGTTTTTGATAGATTTACTGAGGCTGGGGATAAAAAAATAAAGACAAGCGCCTCGCATGGCCCTCAAGGCCTGAGAGGGTCTCTCTCCAGTCCCATTCCCCCCCTTTACTCCTTTCTCTCCAGCTGTGCTGGTCTTGGCCAGTTCTTGGAACCTGCCAAGGTTCCTCCTGCCACAAAGACTTTGCACATGCTGTTCCCTCTGCATGGAATCTCCCTGCTTTTATCCCATCAACTTGACTTGGCTAATTCCCACTCACAGTACAGGTTGTGTGACTTTTGGGGTGTTTAAATCTGACTCCCTCCTTAGATCGAAAGCTCCATGGGACAGGGGCCATGTCTATCTTGCCACTGCTGAATTCCCAACATTTAGCATAGAACCTGCACATAGTAGGCCATGAGTCAAAGTTTGCTGAACAAACATGTTAGCGAGTGCAAACTATATTACGTTGTAAGTGGAGCTCAATACATGTATTTACTGTATGAATGTGTGGATTTATGGTGAACCAGAACTGTTTCTCTGAAGTCCAGAGGCATGCTCAGAAATATTTAACAACTGGATCTCTGCAAAATTAAAAGAAAAAAAAAAAAAAGCCCTGGTGTGTAGCATTTGCCAATTTCTATGGTGCAAAATACTTTCACTATGGCCAATTTCAAGATGTCAGCGTGATGTTACCTGGCTCACAAAATTCTCAGAATCTTAATTGGCTCTTGTGAGTTGTTATGAGTCAGTTCCGACACACTGCTGTGTAAATTCCTGCCGAAGGAGACATCCTCAGACACCTGGAACGTGTGGGAGCTGAGGAAAGGTGGAGGTACCATGTGCTCTGTCCTGAGCCCCAAACTGCACAAGGAGAAACTCTGAGTGTCTCTGAAGCACTGTTTCAAGAATTACAAGAATTTGGCCAGGCACAGTGGCTCATGCCTATAATCCCAGCACTTTGGGAGGGTGAGGCAGGAGGATTACCTGAGGTCAGGAGTTTGAGACCAGCGTGGCCAACATGGTGAAACCCTGTCTCTACTAAAAATACAAAACTTAGCCCAGTGTGGTGGTGCATGCTTATACTCCCAGCTACTTGGGAAGCTGAGGCACGAGAATCTCTTGAACCTGGGAGGCAGAGGCAGAGGCTGCAGTGCACTGAGATTGCACCACTGTACTCCAGCCTGGGCAACAGAGTAAGACTCTGTCTCAAAAAAAAAAGAAAATCATAAGAATTATTGTCATGGAAGTGAGGGAAATGGGGATCACGTCCCAGCTAAAACCCTTACAGAGGCCTTCTGTGATCCTGGGTTAGGTGTCTTAACCTCTCTGAGTCTCAGTTTTCACATCTGTCAAAATGAGATGTGAACACCATCATGGGATATGGTTAGAATTCCACGAATGGGAATAAAAATGAATGAACCAAATGGACCTTGCCTAGGACCAGTCATGAAGGAATGACTTAACACCAAGGTTGCAGACATATGGTAAGTGCTCAGAAACGTGAGCTCTCCCTCTTGCCCTTCTTTCCAGCCTCCTTCTAGAGGTTGTAACATCTATGGAGTGCTGACCCTTTGCCAAGCTGGGTGTGGGCATTCAGCCGACTTATCACATCTGTGGGTAAATTGGATGGCTAACCACAGTAGGCACTGGGCTGGCTTCCTCTTCAAACTTGACAGTGCAGCAACCCTACTTGTTCCAGGGTTTTGAGAAACAGCAGAACGCACATTCAATCTATTCACTTGTTCACCCTCAGTCCTAGAGCTAACCTGCAGTTTTGCCGCCAATTAGGCAGGTGGACTTGGACGTCTTGTTATTTTGTTATACCTCTGAGCCTCAGGTCCCTCTTGTCCAAAATGAGGATAATTGTCATCTCTTTTTCTAAGGTCATTGTGAGGCTAAGATGAAAGAGTGTATTTAAAGAGCCTAATGTGGTGTCTGGCCTCCGTAAATATGCTGTAAGTGGTAGCTGCTATTATTCCCATTATATCATCTAGAAAAGGGGACAAGCTGCCCCTTCAGACCATGTGCTTCTTGCAAATTACCCCCAGAAAGAGCTTTTTTTCTCCCCAGAATCTCTTTTTCTCCCAAAATGAATTTTGAGTTTGGTCCAAGCTCTTCTATTACATGAAGATCTTTCATTCCTTAAGGACCTGCTGCGGAGGCCATAGAGGAGAAGCCAGTTCACAAGCAGCATGACCGACAAGCAGCAGGCTCTTTAAGTCAGCCTCCTAGACAAATCCTGGTGGGGGCGTATGGGGAGAAACCTTGATTTTTTTCTCTAAGGAAACCCTTGCAGAGAGATCACTTCAGTGCCAAGTAATTCGCTGTAATCCCCTGGTAGATGGAGGGCTGTTAGGGAAGTCCCACGATCTAACTCACCTCCTCATATGGTTTGGTTGTGTCCCCACCCAAATCCCATCTTGAATTGTAGTTCCCATAATTCCCAGGTGTCATGGGAGGGATCTGGTGGGAGGCAACTGAATCATGGTGTGTGTGTGTGTGTGTGGATCTTTCCCATGCTGTTCTTATGATAGTAAGTCTCATGAGATCTGATGGTTTTATAAAGGGGAGCTCCCCTGCACAAGCTCTGTGCCTGCCACCATGCAAGACATGACTTCACTCCTCATTTGCCTTCAGCCAGGATTGTAAGGCCTACCCAGCTGTGTGGAACTGTGAGTCCATTAAACCTCTTTCCTTTATGAAGTACTCAGTCTCAGGTATGTCTTTTTTTTTTTGAGATGGAGTTTTGCTCTTGTCATCCAGGCTGGAGTGCAGTACCACAATCATAGCTCACTGCAGCCTCGACCTCCCAGGCTCAAGCAATTCTGCCTCAGCTTCCCAAGTAGCTGGGACCTCAGATGTACACCACCACACCTAACTACTTTTTGTATTTTTTGGTAGAGACAGGGGACTTGCTATGCTGCCCAGGCTGGTCTGGAATCCCTGATCTCAAGTGACCCTCCTCCTGCAAAGTGCTGGGATAACAGGCCTGAGCCACTGTGGCTGGCCAGCTGTGTGACTTCTGTGTGACTTCCACAAATGGGCTGTCCTAAGATGATGTGAGATCACATAAACAAAGCAGCCAACATAGCCCTGCACATAGTAGGTGCTTAGTGAATGCCTCCTCCTCCTGCTCTAGTTCATATTGCCTCCCTGCGCCTCACACTTTTCACCTGTGAAATAGAGCTGATTATTGCAGCCCCACCAGACTCACTTATTTGCTCAGTATACATTGATTTCATCCTCAGCACTGGGTCAGCTGCCTGGTATAGAACATGATGAGACAGTTGCTGTGTGCCGGACACTATTCTGAGCTCTTGGCTTATATCTGCTCATTTAATCTTCACAACAGCACAAGAGGCACTATTACTACCATCCTCACTTTGCAGACGAGGCAATGGAGACCTAGGGAGGCTAGGTATGATATCTAAGTTCGCACAGTAACTGGAATTTCTTTTCTTTTTTTCTTTGAGATGGAGTCTCACTCTGTGGCTCAGGCTGGAGTGCAGTGGTGAGATCTCAGCTCACTG